AGAGCTCTTCTCCAGCAACACACTGTTTGCTTGCTTTCTCTTTGTAATAAATTGAAGTCGGGAAGTGTGATGCCCTGAGCTTTCTTCTTGCTCAAGACTGCTTTTGTTGCCCTCTAGTGGTCGGTAAACTGCGGCTTGTGAGCCACATGCGGCTCTCTGGCCCCTTGAGTGTGGCTCTTCCACAAAATACCGACTTCTGTGCATGGCCACAAAGTTTCAATAGCACTGTCCATGCGCGCCTGCACGTGGTATTTTGTGGGAGAGCCACACTCAAGGGGCCAACGAGCCACGTGTGGCTCGCGAGCCGTGGTTTGCCGACCACGGCCCTAGCCCATTTAGCTCAGTGGATAGAGCCTCAGCCGGCGGACTTAAGGGGTCCAGGTTTGATTCAGGTCTGGGGACTGTACCTTGGTTATGAGCACATACCCCGTATTGAGTGTGCAGGTGTCACCTGATTGATGTTTCTCTCCTATCGATCTTTCTAACTCGCTATTCCTTTCCCGTCCTCTTTGTAAAAATTCAATAAAATATATTTTTTAAAAAAGATTGTTTTTGTTAATGGAGGTCTTGTGATTCCATTTCCAGATTTTTCTATTCATTTCTTTGTAAAATACAATTGGACTTAGTGAGATTGCATTTAATCTGTAGTTTTCCTTGTGTGCTATAGCTGTCTCCACCATATTTCATTTTCAGATCCATGAACACAGGTTGTCTTTCAACTTATTTGTGTTTTCTTTCATTCCTTTCATCACTGTCTCATAGGACTCACTGTACAGATGTTTCACATTTTAGTTGAATTTATTCCTTTGGGTTTTATTGTTTTTGATTCTTTTGTAAATTACATTACATTCTTCATTTTTCCTTCAAAGAATTTCTCATGAGGTTGTAGAAATGGAACTAATGGTTGCATGTTTATTTTGCATTCTGTAACTTTTCTGATTTTAATTCTTTATTCTTCTTTTAGCTTGACCTGAATAGTGAGGATATTTTTTCACTGATTGTTCTTTTAGAGAGAGAGTGAGAGACAGAGAGAAACAGAAACATCGATTGACTGCCTCCCACATATTGCCTCTCCTGTGAGTGGGGATCAGACCTGCAACCCAGGTATGTACCTTTGACTGGGAATCAGACCCTAGCCCTCCAGTGC